AGCGCATCGCCCACGACAGCGGCAACGCCATGGTCATTGCTTTCCCCGGCTCCAGCTCCTTCACCGGCAAGTTCTACAAGCCCGAGATTGCCGTCCTCAGCTCTCTTCTCGGAGGCGAGTCTGCCGTCAAGTGGTCGCAAGGCTTCACCAAGCTCGGCCAGGCCGCTGCTCAGGGTGCCAAGGTCAAGACCACCAGCGCCATCTACTCCGACGCCGGTCTCCTCTACACCACCATCACCGGATCCGCCAAGGCTGTTGCCCAAACCGCCCAGGCCGCTGTTGATGCCATCAAGAAGATTGCTTCCGGCGAGATCTCAAGCGAAGAGGTCTCCAAGGCAAAGGCCGCCGCCAAGTTCAAGGAGCTCGAGCACGGCCAGGACATCCGCGCTGGTCTCGAGCTTACTGGCAACGGTCTGATCCACAACACCCAACCGTACCAGATCGACGAGGTCGCCCAGAAGATTGACGGCGTAACAGAAGAGTCCGTCAAGAAGGTGAGTCTTTGCAATCCCCATTTCGATCTGATATGTACTAACGATTACATCAGGCTGCTAAGGAACTACTTGAGAGCAACGCCTCAGTATCGTCCGTCGGTGACCTTTTCGTACTACCCTACGCTGCGGATCTTGGCCTGAAGGTGTAAATACAGTGATTATGTAGCGCAGTAGATGTGGAATCTCGTTTGTGTAACATTATCTTGTGATAGTCCCTGATAGATGCATCTCGTATGAGAATTCTTTTGTTCAGACTCATCTGAATTGACCCAAACATGTGATGTCTCCCTATGAGATAATTATGAGGTCTCCGACCATCGCATAGCCCCTGTACAAGGCCTGTGTTCATGAGTGTGGCGTTCAGTGTTAGCCTTCCACGTGCCAGCGCGTCGACGCACAGACCCGGCTGCACGCATCGACGTCAACAGACACGTCTACCCACGCCTCCATCCCACACTGTGCTCGACAACCCCGCACATCGTACCGACTACCCCCAAGATCTCTCACAAATAACTTCTTTACTCATCGCGCAAGTCTCGCAAACAACAAACGCACGCCATGGCGCCGACCCTCTACCCCCGCGGCACCGTCAAGAAGATCGTCAAGGCGCATTCCAACAGGCCATTGAGCAAGAACGTGGATATACTGGTACGCTGATGCGATGAGTAGTAGTGAGATGAGAGACTGACATGCGACGTAGATATACCTGAACTATGTGCTGTTCATGCAAGAGTACGTACCTACGATGCAATACACTCCACGATGCGATACTACGACGTGATGCGATGCGCTTCCTTCGATTCACATCACACCACGACACGGTGCGACAAAGGTCGGATATCTTGAAATGGCACTGAGCAAGGGAACGCATTCGCGCAGGTGATGGACGGATGTGGAGGCAGGGGAGAGGAAGAGAGACAGGAAGCTAACGATACCCGCAGACTCATCAACGAAGCGAGCATCAAGAGCAAACAACGCGGCGAGCGGGGACTGTCTGTCAAGAGCGTGAAAAGGGTTAGCGAGGATGTGTTGAGGAAGCACAAGGGTTGAGCGTGGTGGGCTTGAGGGCATAGACGCGGCGCTTGCGAATGCATGCACTAGATGTGAGAGATAGGACTGGGGAGAGTGGCATGCTGCTGTCAGACTGAAGGTCTTTGACAGGTCCGTCAACTGTGGAGGCGCTTTGTGGGCTTTAGTTTGGTGTTTGTGATACCCGGGTATGTACTCATGGCGTAATGGAAACGATTTGACTTTTACGTGGTGCTATATACGGTCACGGAAGCGATTGAAAGGCATGGTATAAGTGGCCATTGTGTATTGAAGGATCACTGCTACGTTCTCGCAATAGGTATTGTTGTGTAGCGATCGGTCACAATATCCTCCGATCGCATTCCCCTCGAGGCAACTTCCCGAGACGAGGATCTAATGCCAAACGCCTATCGTTTTGGTTTCTTTTCCACCGATTGCAATTCGAATACCCCCTGCATATGCTCGACGTCTTGTCGTGCTGGAGTATGTATCTCTTCCTATCCTGGGTTTTTGGAGAATGAGCCTCCTAACATCTTAGGAACTGGAAAGGAAAGAAGTACTACTAGTCTCCCATGCCCATGAACACATCGAAGTAGCTTGACGCCAGTAACGCAATCGCTGACTGGCGATCTGACAGACGAAGTTGATACGGGCAATACGCTGCACTACCGTGCTTGAACTTGCCGGGGAGGGTACTCGGCTCGTCAATGTTGTGGTCGGAGAGAATCTTGCCCAGTTCAGTGGCCTGATCGCGCAGTTGTTGTTGTATGTAAAGGGGTGTCCATGAATGTGAGTCGTTCCATATGTTGATGGCTCGGTGGAAGCCAGCTGCTTCCGCTATCTGAAGATCCAAGTCCGAGTGTTTCGCGACCGGAGGCTGCTCGACTGGGCGGGACTCTAATTTGATCAGCTTGATCTTAACGAGTCGTTGCCGAGATCGTCTCCGAAGCACTCATCGATCCAGGATTGCGGTAGTCCGTGCCAGAGGCTGAACTGGAGATATATCAGTAACAAGTTCAGTGCAAGACAGCAGGCGTAAACTTACATCGAATTGACGAGGGTTCTTGGTAAGGATTGCCATGTCGTTGGCGTTGAGCTTCGCCTCCACGGGTACGATCTGAACTCGTGCGTCGTGTGCTTTCATGGCTTCGAGCGCCGCAGCGTCGAACCTCTTTTGCTTGTACGTAGCGACCGCAGTGGCGAGGAGAGGCGCCATGATTTGGTCGAGGTGAGGTTTTGAGGGCAGCGAAGTAGCACGTAGACGTTAGAAGGTAGAATTGGATTTTGATGTTGTGTGTAGGCGGAGGAGCAGAGGTAAGAGCGCGACAGACTGCTTAACAGGCAGGCGCGTCTTAGCGTTGATATCAAACTCAAGGTGAGTCTGAAATGGGCAGTTGCGGTGACCGCGCGCGTGTCTTTGCATTTTCTCCAGCTTTGCAGATATTGAGCTCCTAGCTCTTAGGATTCTGCAATGTCTATTTTGTCTTATCGGTTTTCTATGCAAGCAAACCAACGTCTTCGTAGTCTTTTTGAAGCGACATTCTTGACGAACTAGCTATTGTACTCAATCACGTAAGATGTTTACACACCTTGAAGTAACGAACTCGAGGGAGAATAACATGCGAGGGTGACGAGTCGCTTCCGATTTCGAGTGTCCAGCTTCCTCCTTGAGCTCATGAACTTGCTTCTCGGACTAATCGCGATTGGTTCAACTGGTGCACATTCACATGTAGATGCTTGACCACTCGTTGTCACTCCATCAATCCTTTGACCTACCCTTCACCACCATACTTCTTGATAAGATCTCTCATGATACTGACCGCGCCGCTCCGATAACTTCCTCCGAACATTGCATAGTGGTTAAGGTGATGGTACAGCTCATATAGCTTCACTCTGTCTTCGTATTCCTCCACGGGCTCCGTCTTCGGACACAGCTGATGGTACTCTTCCAGGAAACTTCCACCGAAGCCACCAAACATCTTCATGGCGCCTAATTCAAACTCGTTGTGCGCGTAGCATGCCGACGAGTCGTAAACCACGTCTTCAACCTCGCCCTTCTTATTACCAATGACGCCTGCGCTTGCATTGCCGCTCCATAAGTCGCCATGCACAACGACCGGTGTAATACCTTTGCCGTTATTGAGATGGTCATCACCAATCAAGCGGGGTACTACCATGGTCGCGGTCTGTTCAACCAGCTTCTTCACGTCGCCGTCCCTACGCCCGTTCTGCTCCGCGCATCGTAGTATAGATCTGAGACGGTTCTCCGCATAAAAGTCTGCCCAGCTTGCCTCATAGCTGTTATCTTGTGGTGTGTCGCCGCAACACGTTGTCACGGGAAACCCGAACAGGGGCTTGCCACAGCCTTCTGGTATGGGCGCTGGCGTGGTATGCAGCTTTGCGAGCTTGGCTGCCAGCGATGGCGCTTTCGACTTTGAACTCGATCGTCCCGTGAGGTGAAGGAATTCAGTCACGAGGAAGAATGTGGATGGCTGCGATTCGAATTGTCCGTGGCCGAAGGGTTGAGGACATAGAGATGGTACGGCGTCGTGGATGGCTTGGAGGGATGCGTACTCGCCTTCATCGCGCTGTCAGTTGATTAGCCAGCCCGGAGGTGCTACACGTTGCGCTTACCTTGGAACATGACCTCGGCCTCTTCGCCGCTCCCAGTCTTCATGAAGAATGCCTGATCTGTGCCATCGTCAAGTTGTGACGTGATCTTCAACGTCGATGCCGAGCTCGAGCCGCCTCCGCCTGCGGAAGAGACGTGCGTCTTGTCAAGGTCCAGACCGAGGAGCCTGATGACTGCCGGATCGAGCTTCATGATGGATTTTGTCGTAAGAGGGCGCGCGATCTTGGAAAGAAACATGACATTGTGACGATGGCGCCTGTGGTGTTTTGAGGTGGGTTGGTGGTGACGTCAGCCTTACCATCCCGCGCGGTGGAAGCTCGAGTCGCGCCGACGCGTCCTTAGCGTTACGACCACGACCTCCGGCACTGACAATATCAGATCGTGCTGTTGGAAGACACCTACGCGCCTGATATCAAACGCGTACCCGACGCGCGCCGCTGCCGCCACCATCATTGCATGACATGACAGCCTTGCGTCCATGCATCTGCGGCTCGACTTCGCTACGCAACCTTGGCGGTGCTTAGAAATGCGACAACTATCGGAAGGCTGTTGGCGATGAATCCTACACATGCAGGTACGAAGCTCGTACATGGCTTACAACCGTTTGTACGCCGATATGTCATCTTCGCGTTGGGCGCCTTATCTTCTTGCACGTTCGTGATGGCCGTGTAGCCTATCTGGCCCAAGATCCCAAAGCTACAAGTATCTTCCCGTCCGCCGTGAAAGAGATGGATATCCTGCCGTGGAGCCAGAAATTTACCTCTTATTCCTTTGAACCAACTTCATCTCAATCGTAACTCACCAGCAACGCGCGAGAACGAGAATTGTGAATCCGTCCCACCAACATGTCCTCCACCATAGTGCTCATCACAGGCGCCAATCGAGGCATCGGTCTTGGCCTTACCGAGCGCTTTCTGGCAAAGCCCTCGCACACTGTCATCGCCGCAGTGCGCAACCCGGAGCACGCGACCGCGCATGCGCTCCAAAACCTGCCCAAGGGTTCCGACAGCCAGCTCATTGTCGTAAAGCTCGACGCAAGCATCGAGCAGGACGCGCATGATGCCGTCGCCGAGCTGCAGCAGAAGCACCAAATCCATCACCTCGACATTGTGATTGCGAACGCCGGCATCAGCTACATCTTGCCCACTGTCGCAGAAGTCAAGATTGCGGACATCAGGGCGCACATGGAACCCAACGTCTATGGCGTGATAGCGCTATACCAGGCGACGCGCCAACTCCTGAAGAAGTCGACGCGCGAGCCGATCTTCCTGCCTATGGGCTCGTCGGCGGGGTTGTTGGTGTAAGTAAACTTGACATGCCTCTCACGCACCCGTTTGACCATGCCCTAGCAACCACCTGCCCATTCCGAACGCGGCGTATGCGCCGACCAAGACAGCGCTCAACTGGTACACGATTCGCATCAACGCCGAAGAGGATTGGCTGAACTGCTTTGCATTCGACCCGGGCCATGTTGCGACCGACATGGGCAACGGCGCGTCCCAGGCTTTGGGTATGGGCGAGAAGGCGCCGGTTTCGGTGAAGGATTCCTGCGAAGGCATGATGCGGGTATTTGCGAAGGCTACGAAGAAGGAGCACGGCGGTAAGTTGATTGTGTATACTGGGGAGACATCGGGGTGGTGAGGCCAGTTTGGAGATTCACCACCTGCTGTACGAGGCCCGCGCAAACAAGTCGATACTATGTATTTTGAATTTATCGAGTTAGGTGTTGCAAGCAATAGTATAAAGATTAAGTTAATACTATAACATCTATAATTGCTTTTCTAACAACGTTTTCGCCTAACATATTTACCTTACTACTACTAACTAAGTAGCTTTACAGAGTAGACCTTAGTATATACCTCTACTTAATAGCTAGTATAGGTAAGTAGCTCTACTCTAGAGAACGTCTTAGAGCTACTAGGCCTAAGTAATTTTTAGTAAAGGTAATAAGCTTTAATAAGAAGTAGAGAGTAGGCCTAAAGTAGTAGCTCTAAAGCTTTTAAACTCTACCCTAGAGAACGTGCTTAGAGCTACTAGCTCTAAGCGATTTTTAGTAGTACTAATAAGAACTAATAAAGAACAAAAGGTAGAACTAAGAGCCTAGCCTTAAGCTATTGCTAGCAGCTATCTAAAGTAATATTAGATATTCTAAAGAGGCTATTTTATGCAGAATTACTATGCAATTCTAAATCTACTCTTAGATTATCTATAGCTAGTTAAGATAAAGAGTTATATAGGCGTAAAGTTAGAGAGTTAGTTTTAGTATTCTTTACATAACTATAGCCGCATAGCTACTATAGAAAAATTCTAGCTACACTATTTTAATTAGAATTATAGCGCGAATTTAACGCTGCGCTTTACTTAGCTCTAGCGCGTAAAATAAGTAAGATATTACGTAAATAAAGTAGCAAGATAAGAGAATAGTGTTGCACTTAGTATTTGTAAGTAAGAGAAGAAATTGTAAATAGCTATATTGTAGAAAAAAATATTGCGATTTTAACAGTGTGCCTCGCTTAGTTATAGCTAGTCTAAGTCCCGAGATATATCTAAAAGAAGAATTTTTAAAGTAGACTTAGTAAAAAAACCTATAGACTCTACTCTAGAGAACGTGCTTAGAGCTACTAGCTCTAAGTAAATTTTAGTAAGAGCGATAAGGCTAATAAGAAACAGAGAGGTAGCTCTAAAGTAGTAGCCTTAAGGCTTTTAAACTTTACCGCCTAAGAGCCTAGATAAAATCTAAGTAGGCTATTTTGTGTAGAATTACTGCGCAAATTTAACGCTACACTTAGCTTATTAATAGCTGCTTGCGTTGTAGAGTTGTAGAGTAGAGAAGTTTAGAGCTAAATTTTAAAGTTCTTTACGTAATTACTGCGCTCGCCGCTAGTACAGCCTACGTGTAGCTAGAATTTAGCGCTTACAGCTAAATTTTAACGCCTATAGCTAAATTTTAGGCTTAAATTAAGGCTAAAATTAGGCGCCTATAGTTAGAACTAGTTACTAAATTAAGCACTTAAAATAGGCGCCTCTATAGCTAGAGATTAGTGCCTCTGCAGCTAAAAAAGAGCGCCTTTACAGCTAAATCTAACGCCTATAGCTAAATTTTAACGCCTATAGCTAAATTTTAGGCTTAAATTAAGGCTAAAATTAGGCGCCTATAGTTAGAACTAGTTACTAAATTAAGCACTTAAAATAGGCGCCTCTATAGCTAGAGATTAGTGCC